TTTGTCAGCCGTGCTCTGCTGCCGCGTGTGTTATGCTCCGGCTCGCTTTGCTCGCTGCTGGTCTTTAGCTCGCTGCTGCCGCCGGTTCTTTAGCTCGCTGCCTGCTGCTCGCTGCTCGCCGTGTTTTAGCCGCTGCCCTGCTGCTGCCTGCCGCCGTGATTTTAGTTATGCTGCTGCTGCCGGCCGTGGACTTTTAGTTTGCGGCTGCTCCGCCGTGTTCTTACGCTCCGCTGCCTGCCTGCCCTGCTGTTTTTTACGCTCGCGCTGCTCTGCTCGCCGCGTGTCTTTAGCTCCTCGCTGTGCTGCCGCCGTGCCTTAGCTCCGTTGCTGTGCCGCCGTGTTTAGCTCCGCTGCCTGCTTGCATGCTGCTGTATTAGGCTGCGCTGCCTGCCTGCTGCTTGCCGCGGGTTTTCAGCTCGCCTGCTCTGCGCGTGTTTTAGCTCGTCTGCTGTCGCCGCGTGTTTAGCTCGCTGCTCTGCACGCCGTGGTTTAGGCTCGCTGCTGCTGCCTGCCGTTAGGCTTCTTAGCCCTCATACTGCTGCCTGCCGCCGTGTGTTAGCCTCGCTGCCCTTGCTGCCGCCCGTGTTTCTACGCTCGCTCGCTGCTGCCGCGTGTTTTAGCTCCGCTCGCTCGTGCCGTGTTTTAAGCCTCGCTGCTGCTACCGCCGTGTTTTAGCTCCGCTGCTGCTGCGCCGTGGTTCTTAGCTCGCTGCTCGCTGCCGCCGTGTTTAGCCGCTGCGCTTGCCGCGTCTGTTAGCTCCGCTGCTGACTGCGCGTGGTTTAGCTCGCTGCTGCTGGTGTTTTTCAGCTCGCTGCTGCTCACCGCCGCTGTTCTTACTCGCTGCTCGCTACCGCCGTGTTTCCTCGCTGCTGCTTGGCCGCCGTGTTTTAGCTCGCTGCTGCCTGCCGCCGGTTTCAGCTCGCTGCTGCTGCGCCTGTTCTTACGCTCGCATGCTGTCTGCCCCGTGTTGAGCTCGCTGCTGCTGCGCGTTTGTAGCTCGCTGCGCTGCTGCCGCCGTGTGCTGCCGCCGTGTTTTAGCTCGATGCCGCCGCCGTGTTTTAGCTCGCTGCTGCTGCCGCCGTGTTTTAGTTTGCTGCTGCCGCCGTGTTTTAGCTCGCTGCCGCCGCCGTGTTTTAGCTCGCTGCTGCTGCCGCCGTGTTTTATTTTGCTGCTGCTACCGTGTCTTAGCTCGCTGCTGCTGAATTGGCAGAATAGTGGCGACGCCGACGAAAAATCACGATGACAATGACGAAAAAACCTGTCGGCGTCGGAAGCGAAAAACGCGACGCAATATTTTACTTGGTGGATTGGACTATATATAAAAGCTCTACATACGACTACGTTTACGGATATATAAAATGCAAGATATGCAAATTAAAAGCAAATGTGTCTTTGCTTCTTAATTCTACCGTTTGTCAATCACGACCATGTGTGGGCGTACCTAATGAGTAGTATGTGGTACCAAGCGCCCGCTCAGCGTCCGTGTATTCCTTGCTAATAATTAGCATGTGATAAGCCATGAGGTTTCGCCACACGAAGCTCTCGCCATCATACTGAAGTACCATCTCTCCTATCCAGTCAATCAGAACTTTAATAATGCCAGTGTAAAACCTGCAACAAACAAGTGAGTAATTGAACGCGTGGTCGCCACGCACAGCCTCCGTCACGTATTACGAAGAGTATGCGCGCATAAATATTGATGTGCGTGAGCGATTTTATAGATCTGTGATTCAAAATTACAGGCAATCCTCATCCAAAAACTTAGTTATGCGTATTTTAGCATGGTTACGCTTAGGCTTGCGGATAATCATTGTTTTATCGCAGAGAAGGGACGTCGCAGGCGCGGTGATACTTATGTCTCGGCTCACTGGTCTGACAGGTGACTAAATTAATATAGCAACGAGAATATTAATCAGCGGTAGTACTGTAGAACAGAGTGGTGGATTTAACTAACATAGATTGTATCAGGAGTAAGATAATATAACATTATATTATCTACTTTTGATTGTATCAGTAAACAACTAGAACAGGTTGTAGAACAGGTTGTAGAACAGGGTGGTGGGGTTAAAGGTGCCCTGCCTCGACGTTTCAAGCGGCAAACATAAAATCAGGCAAAAATGAATTATTTTAACATTGAACGTTTGTACTTGCCGATATATGTGTGATAGGTAAAAAAAATTGCTCAGGAATATGTTCATTCAAAGCTTTTAGACTACAAAGTGAAAGTGTCGGGTCGAATGTTTCAAACTTTTGCCGCACTGCGGCGATGTTGTGACGCGTCTCTTGTTGCCATGCGGTGTTGCCAAGCGGTGAAGTTCATGAAGCCTGTATATGCTCATTGTTATATGATATCTATATAAGGCTGTGCCTATAAGGCCTATAAGCGCCTATATAAAATGTGAATGAGCATGTGAATGCCCCTATAGGCGCTTATATATTAAGGGCCTATTATATATTATTACTATATTACTATTAAATTACTATTATTATTACTATTACTATATTATTACGGCCTATATATAGCTGTGCTGCTACGTAACCTGCGTTGACTCTTGCCGCCATGATACAGAACCGCGGCGAAACTCGTTTTTCGAGTTGTTTTTTTGTTGAGGGAATAATATATAGGCTTGATACATATTTTTACAGTTTTATTTTCAAAGCTACCGTTCTAAAAATCCTACTCTACTGACGCTCATAGGGTCTATGTTCCCCAGGGTACCGCCGGAACTAACCCTGGGTACGGTCCGGTATACCGGAACGTATCCTGGTAACTATCTGATATGGTTAGGGTTAGGGTTAGGGAGTAAGCGTAGGCGACTCCCTAGACTCGTTAGTGGAGTAGGCGAGGTACGATCCGGCATATTAGATAGTACCAGGGTACGTTCCGGCAGTACCCTGGGGGACATAGACCCTCTCAGCTCTACTGACGTGTCAATTATTGTTAGCAGACAAAATATGCAATTGACGGAGACCTGACGCACGCTGTATGTACTATATGTACTAACAGGAAGTGAAATACGTGGGCGCATGCATTGAAAGTCTAGAGACTATGTAAGAGCTATGTATATGAGAGCGCTATGTAAGTGTTGGCGCTGGAAGGGTATCCCGGGTTAGGGCCGAAGTGTTAACACTCCGCTCTGAAAAAAATGCATTCCGCAGACTGGTTTTTGCACCTGTTCGGGAAACTCAAGGACTCAACCTGCTGCTAGAAATGCTAGAGTTATAAGTCCTCCGACGTCTCATCTGCGAGAGAGAAGAAGAAGATGAGAAGATATGGCACGATTGCAGGCAAGTTTGCTCATTCGTGTCAGATTGCATTTATTACTGTAGAGCATAATTTACCGGGATTACCTATATGCGCTGTCATGTAACGTTGACAGATTCGGCCTATTATCTAGCACGATATCACAGGTGTGTACACGATATTATAAGGTGATATTTATAAAGGGTTATGATGTATAGTAGGGTGACTCGTTCATTAGAATAATCCGGGCGAGATGTGCATTTCCCTTTCCATTTCGCAACGTTATGGTAGATAAAGCCATTTCAATGTCATGAGTTACCTGATGGCGTCTCGCTCATACGCAGTTGCAGCGACATGGCATACGCACATATATGACAGAAATCCACAGCAAGACTTCTTGAACATTATACTCTGCTTTAGAAATATGCGGACTGTTATCACGACGCAATTAGGGGTTAATAAACACGTAAAGCCAATCCTCCCAAAACCCTTTGGTATAGTTTTCCCCTGATACAATCATTCAATTGCGTCTGCCAGATTTATCGACGAAATTGCTGTACAGTAACACTGCACACAGGGGCGTAGCTGGCACGGGTGTAGCTGGCACGGGTGTTGCTCCCGTGTAGCTGGGGTGTAGGAAAATTTGTCACAGAAAAACTGGCATTCGGAAAAGTTGTCACAGGAAAATTGGTCATTACACCTCACTATATACTACTGCTTTCTGTTTCCTGACTTCTTTTCGTTCACCCCTGCCTCCCCAGCATGTAACTCCTGAATTCGTCTCATACCCTCCACTCCACCTCCTCTCTCTTCCTCCCTCTTCCTCTACTACCTCGTTCCTCCGCCACCCTCCTTCTCCTACCTTTTTTTACCAGCTCCCTCTTCATCAACGTTATCAATATTATCTTTCCTCATCTACCTCTACCCATCCCCATCGCTACATTCTCCTTTCTCCTCCTATACATTTTTTTCGTCTGTACCTCCCCTTCTCCTCTCTTCTCATCATCTACCATCATCTTCTTCCTTCTCCACATTTCCCCTCCTCCCCTGCTTCCTTCGCTCCTCCTTCCTTTCCCCGACCCTTCCCCTGCTTCCTTCGCTCCTCCTTCCTTTCCCCACCCCTTCCCCTGCTTCCTTCACTCCTCCTTCCTTTCCCCACCCCTTCCCCTCCCCATTCATGCTCTCATCCATTTCAGTTTACGACATTCTTTTCTCTGCCTAGCTTCCCTCCTCCTGTGCCGCCTGTGCTCTTTCTCCCCTATTCCCTCAACTTTACTCTTTGGTAGCACACCGAGGTTTACTATTTATGACAAATTTTCTGTTTGACCAAGCTTCTTGAGACCAATTTCCTGGATGCTAACTGGCGTGTCAACCTAAGAAACTAGACTGGCTGTCGTACAGTTAGATACAATGTATCTTTTCCAATCGAATTTAATTGTTCATTTCAATAAGCCAGTTCGTAATTAGCCAAGGGGTTGTGTGACGTCACAGGTTACCGGGTCATTTGTGACAAAAATCTATGAAATCTCGAGTGCGGCGTGAGCTCTCGGTTCAGTACGTATATGTACA